CTTAACTAACACACCTAATGCATGTGTCAGCCTAACAACCTAACAACTTGTAACAAACTTTTCTGTTAACTATCTGTTTCTGTTAACTAACTTTGTGACACCACATTCTGTCCACATTTTGTATCATCTGATCATTTTAACACACCCCCTCAAGCTGAAGGGTGCAAAACATTAAGCACACCAAGCTTGCCCAAGAGATAAGAATGCTGAGCTTGACTGAGCCCCTTTGTCAATAAGTCTGCAAGTTGTTGTCGAGTAGGAACATATATAGTGTCCACCACCCCTGCTTTGATTTTATCCCGGATGAAGTGACAGTCTATCTCGATGTGTTTGGTCCTCTCATGGAAGACCGGATTTGCTGCTAATTGGATGGCTGATTTGCTGTCACTGAGAATGTTGATAGGACTTTGTATTGGAACTCCCAATTCAGTGAACAATCCAAGCAACCAAGTGACTTCAGATACAGCTGAAGCCATGCTTCTGTATTCAGCCTCAGCTGAGCTTCTGGAAACAGTGTGTTGTTTCTTAGACTTCCAAGACACTAATGACTCATCAAACTTGACCACATAGCCTGTAATGGACCTTCTAGTGTTAGGGCATGCAGCCCAATCAGAATCACACCAACAGGTAGGAGTAGTGGTAGGTTTGGCTTGCAACCATACACCTTGACCTATTGTGCCTTTTAAGTATCTAACCACCCTAAGTGCTGACTCCCAATGTGACTTTTTTGGGGACTGCATAAACTGACTGAGGGTTTGAATTGCATAGCAAATGTCTGGTCTTGTAATAGTTGCATAGAGAAGCTTACCAACCAGTCTTTGGTAAGAAGTAATATCTAGTAGAAGAGCTTCTCCAGTAAGACCATTTACCACATCATGATCAACTGAGGTAAGTTTCAAATTGGTCTCAAGAGGAGTGGAAGCAGGCTTGGCACCAGTGAGGCCTACATCAGCAATGAGTTCCAAAACATACTTTCTCTGATTGAGAATAACACATTTAGGAGATCTGAGGACTTCAATGCCCAAGAAAATCCTGAGCTCACCTAAATCCTTGAGTTTGAACTTATGATGTAGACTGTCTTTAACTTTAATGATCATTTTCTCACTAGTGCCTGTGATGAGTAAATCATCAACATAGACAAGAATAACCACTATATCTGCTCCTCTGGTCAAAGTGAATAATGAGTAGTCATGAACACTTTGAGTGAAACTAGAGTCCAATAAAGCAGTAGTAAGTTTCGAATTCCACTGTCTAGATGCCTGTTTAAGGCCATACAAAGACTTGAGTAACCTGCATACTTTGTTCTCCCCTGGCTTCTTAAAACCTTCTGGCATGTCCATGTAGACTTCTTCATCCAAGTCACCTTGAAGAAATGCATTATAAACATCCATTTGGTATAAACTCCAGCCTCTAGAGACAGCTAAAGCAATCACACATCTGACTGTCACCATCTTGGCCACAGGTGAGAATGTATCATGATAGTCTAATCCTTCTTGTTGGCTGTACCCTTTAGCAACTAGTCTGGCCTTAAATATCTCCACTTCACCAGTTGCCTTGTATTTAACCTTGTACACCCATTTAGAACCAACAATATGCATGCCTTCAGGTAAGTCAACTACCTGCCAAGTCTTATTGTCTTCAAGGGCCTAAATCTCCTGTTGCATGGCAAGAATCCACCTGTCATCCTTGGCTGCCTGTTTGAAGTTCTTAGGCTCCACATAGTCAGACATTTTACACAAATAACTCCTATAACAGGAGGTTAACTTCTCATAGCTAAGAAAGTTGGCCAATGGATGTCTAGTACTGGTTTGCTTCCTGCCAGTAGTGACGTAGTCTTGCAACCAGGTTGGTGCTTTAGTGGGCCTGGAGGTCTTTCTGATAGAAGGTTCCATAGGTGTATGCATGACAGGAGGGGAAGAAGATATATCAGGTCTGATGTCTGTAGAACTATTAGTTGAAAGCTGGGAATCATCATTACATATAATCTTAGTAGCCTCAGCATTGTCAGTAACATCACCACTAGCCTCAACATCAATATTTTCAGTTGCATCATCATGGTCAGGGTGAGTAACAACTTGAAATAAAGGGGAACCAACAGAGCTAGTAAACAACTTAGTCTGTGGTAATGTTGTAGTAAAAGGAAACACATCCTCTTCAAAATGCACATCTCTACTCACAGATAACTTGTTTGATCTTAGATCCAACATTATATACCCTTTCTGCAGTTCAGAATAACCTATGAGAATAGCAGGAACAGCTCTTTCTCCAAACTTGTCACTTTTAGGCAATACAATGACATAACCAAGGCATCCTATTACCCTTAGTTGAGATAGAGATGGGGATTTTGAATAAAACATCTCATAAGGACTCACATTATCCAGGGCAGAAGAAAGTAATCTATTCAGCAAATACACTGCAGCTTTGATACAGAATCCCTAAAACCTAATGGGCAAATGTGACTGAAATCTGATAGCTCTAGCAATATTCAGAATGTGTGTATGCTTTCTTTCTACTACACCATTTTGTTGTGGTCTGTGGGGGCAACTACTTTGATGCAAGATGCCTAAATCATGAAATAAAGTTGTACATTGAGAGTTAAAAAACTCAGTACCATTATCTGACCTGACCACTTTCACATGAGAATCAAATTGTGTGTTAACCATTTTGAGGAAAATTTTGATAGCAACAACAGTCTCAGATTTCAATTGTAACAGATAAACCCATACAAATCTGCTATAGTCATCTACAATGGTTAAGAAGTAATGTTTCTTATCTATAATAGGAGTCTTATAAGGACCCCAGAGGTCCATGTGTACAATATCAAATCTCATACAGGCTCTAGAAGTACTGACAGGAAAGTAAGTCTAGTTTGCTTAGCCAATGGACAAACTGAACACTGAGTGTCACTATGATTTTTTTGGAACTAAATTCAAAAAACTTAAAATTTGAGAAGAAGGATGTCCAAGCCTTTTATGCCATAGGTGAACATCCTGTATTATTGCTCCTGCAGTCACTAGTGGAGGACCAGAGATGGATTTCTGTCTGTGTACTATTGTAGTGTCTCCCTTGAAAACATATAACCCTCCTTCTTCTTTACCAATCCCCTTGACCTTGCCACTGTAGAGGTCCTGGAAGACACAAAAGTTAGGGTAAAAAGATACAAAACAAGATAGCTCCCTTGTGATCTGTGAAACTGACAGGAGGTTGAACTTGAAGTTTGGTACACAGAGGACATTTTTAACACTGTTGTTGTCAAAAAACAATGCCTCACCAACATGACTAATATCTACTTTGTCCCATGTTGGTAGATGAACCTGATTCTGTTGTGTCTTATCTATGCTATAACTCTTAGTTAATAAGTGTCTGTTTGCTGTAATATGATGAGAGGCACCTGAATCCACTATCCAATTTTGTGTAAAGCCAGTTGACATTAGACAAGTAGTAGCAATACCTGCCGTGTTGACTTGCTTAGGTTCCTTCACATATTTGTTTAGCATCTCCATGATTTGTTTATACTCCTGGTCGGTGAATGCATGTCCCTAGTGTAAAGTTTTATCCTCATCAAAGCTGGTTGAAGCCTCCTGTGAATGGAAAATACCAGCAGCATGGTTTGCTGAATGTTGTCCTGCATAGTGTGAGGATCCTGCAGAATTTTTTACATTGTTAGCTGGAAACTGCTTACCACCATCACCACAGTAAGAGGCCCCTGATGCATTCCTCAGATTATTAGACTTCCTTCTATTCTTCTAGTCATCAGGATAACCTATCAGCTTGTAACAATTCTCCTTGGTATGACCAGTAAAGTGACAAAACTCACACTTTCTTCCTTTGTAATATTCCTTTCCTTGATTCTTATGCACATTCATAGCCATTGGATCAGGTTTTTGAATGACATTTGCTACATAGTTTGAATGTTGAATCTCATCTTCTATGATCATAACATAAGCTTGATTTATGGTAGGTGTGGCTCCTTTGAGCAGGATCTGCTTACGAGCTTGGTCATAAGACTCATTCAAACCACTCAAAAATTGTATCAATCACAACTGTTGTATATGATCAACATAATCCTTTGACTGAGGACATGTACAACCAGGACTGGGAACTACATCATCATATTCATTCCAAAGAGTCTTCAGTTTTGTAAAGTAAAGAGATACTGAATCTGTACCTTGAGTCAGAGTAGTGATTTCTCTATGTAGCTGGTATATTCTCATGCAATTCACCTTATCAAACCTTTCGTTCAGATCAACCCAAACTTAGAAAGCATTTGTGGCATATACAATTCCACTTAAGAGATCTTCATTAACTGTATTCATTATCCAAGATAACACGATTGCATTACAAGTTTCCCACTGCTCATGTAATTCATCTTTGTACAGAGCTCTGGTGCAAGCTCCTGTAACAAAACCATACTTCCTCTTCCCTAACAAAGCAATCCTCATTGACCTACTCCAGATCCCATAGTTTTCTGATCCTGTCAACTTGATGGGAATCAAAACAACTCCTGAAGCATCTGACTGGCCAATGTACAGAGGATCATTTTGATCTATCTTTGGAATCGGCATTGCTACAATCTTCAACTACTTCAACTACCTTGCTGAAGTATCTCTAATCTGAGTAATAATACTGCTCCTAATTAGCTAGGATCGAGTGCTTTGATACCATGTTAGAATTCTGAGCTTGAAGCTCTTCTAGACAGAGATGAACAGAGAATTAGAAAGAGAGAAGAAGAGAGAGTTTTCTATTGATCTGTATAATGGTCTATTTTCAATGTGAAGCATTCTCAATGCTTTTATACACACAGATTACAAAATTGTAGAAGCATCTAGAAGGTTCTTAACTAACACACCTAATGCATGTGTCAGCCTAACAACCTAACAACTTGTAACAAACTTTTCTGTTAACTATCTGTTTCTGTTAACTAACTTTGTGACACCACATTCTGTCCACATTTTGTATCATCTGATCATTTTAACAAGATGTATGATAGCAAAGAAACTACTACCTTTATTTAACCTTTAACTCGGAAAATATCCCAAATACAATCATCAATTAAAACAAAACTGAATCCGATACAATGTAGTATGGTTACATCGTAGTACATCTATAAACTATATGAATCTCAAAACATACTTAAATGGTCCAATTTAATGAAAAATGGCAAAGGCAATTGCGGATAGACTGAGCACAAAGCTGGCCAATACGGTCGTTAAGGACGAAGGCGGAGGAGGAGGAGGAACGACACCACCGAGAACGGAACCTGTAGGTCCATCAACAGATGGTGTAGGTGGGTTGGTACCTGGAGTACTAGTGCTGTCGTCGAAAACTGAAATTTCTAATTTCTGTCCACCTTGGCAGTGTGTGCCAATAGTACAAATGAAATAGTGATCATCAGTAGAATTAAGAGTTATATTTGTTGGTCCTGTCATTATGGCAGCGCCTATTGCATTCTGCGAATTGCATCCATCGAACGAAGTTTCTTCTACTTGTTGCATGTCATGTCGATCAGTCGCAAAATTGAACACTGTCAAAATTAAAATAAGAAACATGAATTTGTTTAATTTGAAGGATATAATCTAATGAAAATTAATAAATTAATTAAATGTATATACCTAGAATATCGCCAACTCTGAATGTTTTTCCAGCAGCCCAATTTGTGTAAGCAACTGCGCCATTGCTTGGTACGGTCCAACCCATGTTGTCCCCTACCACATGCACCGTTTGTGCGAATTTTTGACCAAAATAAGCCATTATTAAAATCAATTCACCAAAATAGTATATTTTTTTAAATTTTTACGAAACTAGTATAAACGTGGTTCACAGTAACGTTTTAGGCTTTATTTTATTAAATAAAATTAATGGGAAAAAGGACGGACGAATAACGCCGTTTAATAATAACACGTTATTGGAGATAACGTTTTAAACATAAAATGTTATCCTGAATAACGATTATAGCCCGTGTGTACTACAGCCCATTCATTCTTATCAATTGAACAAAACCCATCAACTAAACAAAACCTCATTCACTCCAGCGACTATTGTGAAAAAACCCTCACCTCTCACCACTTAATTCCTAACCCACCTGCAAAAAATCCAGCCGCTTACAAAATTGACGCACTAACTACACTGGATTTGAAATCCTTTTGTTCAACTGTTGAAGATTTGACACACTACAAGAGATTTATATAGGGGTGAAACTTTCAAAATTTTGAAGGAGGTTGGCAATTTTACTGGCAAAAATCGGTCAAATAGCTTTGAAAGAGAAGTATCTTTTTGTGATTGAGGTAATTTTGTCACACACTAATACATTTGATCTAAAATTTGATGTATATTTTTTTTCTTTTTTGTGAATGAAGCTAACGTTTTATGTATATGTTGCTGGTGAAGTATTTGTGCAAGGTTTTGGTCATTATTTTAAAAACATTCTTTTGTGTGTAGGTATTTCTTTTATGGCTAGTAATAATACATACCAACTGGATCCCGGTCCACTTGATCCGTCTGTATTAACCGAACAGCTCACTCATAGGTCACGAGATATATGGATAGGAAATGATAATATGATTTTGAACACAAGGAAGTGTGATGGAAAGTTTTGGGACCTCGTAAATGAACATCCCATCCATCCACGAGTCTTAGATGTAATTAGATTATCCGGATTGTACGGTGTTTATAGATCTCACCGGTCTGTTGTAGATCGTAGTTTAATCACTTCACTAGTTGAGAGATGGCGTCCTGAGACTCATACTTTCCACTTTAAAACAGGTGAGGCCACAATCACCTTACAGGACGTGGAGATATTGTATGGCTTACCCGTGAAAGGTAATCCAGTACTTGGATATGAACCACAGAGGACCATAGCGGATTGGCAAAATATTTGTCAAAGACTATTAGGTTTTACTCCACATACTCACGACTTTAAACATAGTAGTCTTAAGGTCTCCGCGCTTAATGCACACTTGCGACTTCAACCACAACTGTCTGATTTGGCAACACAAGATATGGTCAACGAGAAGGCTAGGTGTTATATGTTTTGGATGATTGCTGGTTTAATGTTGGCAGACACATCTGGCGGTCTTTTAAAGCTTATGTACTTGCCTATGCTCGAAGACATCACTGCAGTAGGGTCTTACAGTTAGGGTAGCGCAACCTTAGCATTCTTATATCGCTTTCTTTGTAAAGCCTCCCAAAGTACCTAGAATGAGATTGCTGGATTTCTACCACTACTTCAGGTATACCTAATAATGATACTAATTATTTATTGAAATTTCTTCTAGTTTATAAATATTTCTCGATATATATTATGTTAGATTTGGGCATGGGAGAGAGTTACTGTCCTCAGGCCTCAGATAGTAGCACAAAGGGACACGAGAAATATTTTTCCTGTTGGTTCACCTAGGGGTCCACATGCTGCTAGATGGTTTGCACATTTTAGTTGGACCAACACTACCAAGCATGTGCTAAGAGTTTTTAGGGATGCGCTTGATTCAATGACCGAAGATCAGGTAGGATGTTGTATTAGTTTTCCCTTAACTTTCATGTATATTATAATTGTGAACTCTTTTTGTCTCATGTAGTTTATTTGGGAACCATATTCTGTTGACTTGATTGAGAGTCTTCCCGACTATTGCCGCGTTGGAAGAGATATATGGCGTGCTAGAGTTCCAATTTTTTGTTGGGATGTCGTGGAGGTTCATTTGCCTGATCGAGTTATGAGGCAATTTGGATTGGTTCAGGAGATACCATCTCCATTTCCATTTGATGCTACTCATTTTCACCACGATTGTCGAGGAAGGCCAAACACTAATTGGGAGTTGGAGCATGCACAATGGTTACCTTTTTGGAACCATATTGACCAATATGTTTGTAATGCACCAATCATTCATGGATCACTTAGGTATGATGATCCCTACCTTATTTGGTTCAGACGTATTACTCGTTTTGTCATTGGTAATCCTGCTTCGCGTCCTCAACAACTACAAGGTTATGTTCCTAATGCGACTGCATATGAAACAATGGTAAGTTCAATACTTGGTTTTTCTTTTAAAGCTCATTAATGAGTTCTGGAAATCCCAGATGCGTCATCGCCCTTCTCTAATCATTGTTATGTAATGTGATTGGTTCATGGAGCTGATAGATTAATGTGAGTTTGTTTAGTTTAATTGAACTATATTATTTTAGTTCGAATTATGTAATGTGATTGGTTAAGGCAAAATTCTATTATACAAGAACACCTCTAAGTGACTGAAAATATTGAGGAGAAGAGGAAGTGATAAGAATTGACTTTTATTTCCATTCTATGTCACAAATGATTCATTTTTTCTTAATTATCTAGTGACTCTAAGTGACTATAGAAAATTAGGATGTCTGACTGCAATAATTTTATAGTGAAAGATTTTGACTGCAACAATTTTATTTCATTTTCATTCCCCTGCTATGCTGAATCTAAGTTGAAAATGATACAGTTTGGTTGCATTTAAGTGCTGGCATGTCATTCTTTAAACAATGTGCTTAATCAAAGTTAGATCTTGTTTATTCATTGGACATGGAATGTCATTCTGTTCATAATGGATTAATAAGAATTATTCTTCTCATATAATTAATTTATTTTGCACAGGCGCGTCATATTCATTTGATGGTTAATAAAGCAATATCACTCGGTGATAACCCATCAATGGAGGAATTTTACATATTTCGTGCAATGGTGCGGGATGAAGGATCTAACTGCTTAACGTATGTTCAAGAGGCAGATAGGATTAATGTACAAGCCAATTATAGAAGAGACGAGGTACAGTCTGATCATTTGCATCCCCCTATTCGTAAGCGAGGAAAAGGTGGTGTTGCGGGGAGAAGGGTACGTGCTGTTGAGAGAGGTCGAGCGCTTATTGAAATGGGTGATGAGGATCAAGCCACACAAGATGTCCAAGCAGCACCGGAATATGAACCAACAAATACTGAGATTGTTCCATACATGACACCACAAACTCCACAAATATCAAGAGATCCAAGTATTTCATCACATGAGAATGTCTTTGGTAGTTATCGACCTCAACATTTTGAGAATGCTCCAAACTTTACTTCATCGCCTGTAGAAGGTAATGAGTTGAATAATTCCAACAATGAACTGAATGATGATGAGACGGAGGATGCAAGCCAAGGTGGTGAACCTTCGGTGAAGAAGAAGCGTATAATTTTTCCTAAGATTTGTGGGACAGGTACTTTTAAATCTTTACGTTATATCTTTGACATAAATGCTCATTTTTTAATTGAATAATTGAATTTTCTTTTACTTGCCAGGGAGTCACCATCTTAACGAGCACGGCCAAAAGAAAAAAACAAAAGGTAATAAAGCCTCTGTAGTAACAAAGAAGAAAAACAAAGGATAAATCATGAGGCGAAGACTTTCGAGTAAGGTTTTACCATCATCTCGCAAATTTGTTTTCCTACCATTAGCTTCAATTGTTAACAATTCAAAATTTCTATTGTAGAGTTTTTGTGAGGAAGAAAAGAAGACAGCTTGGAGCATGACCATAGAGAGAACTTCCCTTCTGTATAGCTTCAGTTCATTAGCTATAAAATGATAAATTTGCTTCAATTCATAAACTATTTGTCTTCTTTCATGAAATTTGTTTATAAGTTTGTTTATAACTTCCCTTATGTATAAAATTTTGTTTATAAGTTTAATAGAAGACTCATTGGTATTGTATAGAATTTTGATTGTGCCAATATTATTTTTTTTGGTGTTGTTCAATTCAACATGATCACCGAGTGTTGTTCAATTTAGGTGCCAATATACTTTCTTTTAAAGCACTGTGTGCTGTTAATACACTTTGTAAAATTTATTACACTAGTAGTTATCATTGCTTGATGTTCACTGATGTATAAAGTTAACCTCTTTGGCAGCAATATAACAAAAATGACTACCTGCTTAATTGATATAAAAGATTGAATATTATTTAGGGAATTACATCACAGTAGCTTGGGAATTAACACAACTAGACATCCATCCACAACTAAAAATTAATACAATTGCACTAATAAAAGACTACTCACTTAAATTAATTACGATCTGGACATCGACGCCTATCATGTCCGGTTTGCCTACATAATCCACAAGCTCGCTCATAAATGGCAGGACCACAATCCATCTCATTAGGAATTCTAGTTGTCCTTGATCGATTGGGACGAAGATAGAATTCATTACTTCTCATTCTAAAACTAGGAGATGGCCAATACGCCTCGTGGCCAATTGGTGAGAATGACCCAGAATATGTTGCAACATAATTATCTATTGTGAAATGCCCGCTAACAAAATTTCTAGCTAGCTCTCCCATTCTATCAATGACCTTCATGACATGTGAACACGGGAAATGCAAATTAGCCCATTTTCCACAATCACATTTTCTTTCATTTAATGAAACACAATGAGGATTACCACCGGTACCATCAACCTCTATAGATCTAACCTCATATACCCCTGTGGGTATATTCCAATCAAAAACAAAGTGCCTCTTTGAACTTTCATAGTTCTTCTCCCACTTTATCTTAAACCTCCCGGTCCATAGCTCATTTTGTTATTGAAGTTGTTGCGCTATTTGAGACCTACGAGTATATCGTTCAATAGTTTGCTCCAATGAAAGTTTAACCATAGCAGTGACAGGCAAGCCTCGTGCCTTTTTCAACACTCCATTAAACGACTCTGAAAGATTTGTTGTCAACACTCCCCATCTTTTTCCGTCATCATAGCTAACAGTCCATTT